AGACATTTGCGCACCTTTTTTTGCTGGAAAAGGCCTTAGGAAAGGTCGTAGAGCTTCAAAAATGTATTCATATAAGGGAATCGTATGCGTAGATTCCGAATTTCGACAAATCACACCTTGCTGACACGTCAAATTTGGGCTAAAAGGCAAAAGCTGCGGAAAAGCGTTAAGTTGCGTAGTTTTTGCCTTTTAAAAAAGTTTAAGAAAATTCAGACGAGCCATTATCTTATATTTCGCGTGCTCTTGAATTAGCCAATCTTACATTTTTTCTATTTCTGCCACCCGTTCTCTTCTCTCGTGCAAAAACCACACTGTCCCTCCATAAAGCGCCTAGTTATATGCCTGTCTTGTATTCGAATCCTTTTCTTCCAAAAATTATCCTGTAAAACCGTTCTTTTTGTTTACGAGGACTCCTTCCCGCCTTAATCTTGCTCTTCTTAACATTTTATCTACTTAAACTCGTTTTTAATTTGGTTTTCAGAGAACGTCTGTTCAACCAGTCAACCCAAAGCCGTTCCTCAACGGACTCGCCGCAGAGCCAGTTGTGTGCAGATTCAAGTCGGGAATCGAATATCAAGGCGTCCTTATCTCGGTCGACGGTTACATGAATGTCCAGGTGGGGTTGTCTTTGTGTACAGTTTTTATGGCATAGCTTAAAGCTAGTTTGGAGAGGTACGTTCTGAATTTTGTTAGTTTTGATGTCGCTTGTGAACCGTCAGATATATGACGAGTAAGCTTGCTTAGGCCTAGGCATTCACAAATAAAATTTTCATCTTTTAGATGGCTAACGCGGAGGAATACATTGATGGAACAAACACTGGAGCTTTCGGAGAAATGTTAATAAGGTGATTAGTGTGACTTTTGTCTAATTTGTTTAAATCTGGATGCAACAACATCCTCTACATCGGAGGCGCCGAAGACTCGGACGTTTGATCGCCTAGTTTTCATTATTTATCATTTTGCTAACTTGTTGAGTGTGTAACGTTATGAGTGTGTATCTCTTCCGTATATTTATGAATAAAGGTTAATTTGTTCAGTTAATGGGACCGTGGCCGTGGGGACCATGAACGTTCACCAGAAAGCCGCAGAGGTGGCGACCGTTCACCGAAAAGGCGAAGACGGTTAGTCTTAAAAAATCGCTTTGTTTACAGCTGATTGAGGTCACCATCTCCTAAACGTAAAGCTTCTCCAGAAAGACGAAGACGATAATAGAGCTTTGCACCTTTTTTTGATGAAAATTATTTAGATCTCTATCACCAAGGCGTGATGACAGTCCTGAGCGGCGGAAACGTTTAGTTTAACCTGGGTTGCATTCAGTATTAGTAATTTAGGTCGCTAACACCAAAACGTGCTCGACTCGAAAAGGCAAAAAAAAGGAAGCTCTTCAAAAAGTATACAAGAAAACTTTGTTGAAGTAAATACATTTTAGGAAAAGAAAGAGCCTTTTGATTTATTGCGTTCTCGCACTGGAGGCGCATACATCCCACCAGCGAAGCTGAAGTTGATGCAAGAACAAATCCAGGTAATGCATCAAATGATAACGTGACCACAGAAAAAATTTAGGACAAATCGGGTGAGCAATTTCGACGATTGAATTGGGAGCGTCTGAGGAAAAGATCCACGGTCTCGTCAATAAAGTCAACGCCAGCAATCTTGTCGGAATTGTGCGAGAGCTTCTTCAAGAAAACATTATCCGTGGAAAGTTTGATTTCAGCATTTTCTCAAGTAAACGAAATTTTAGGGGTTTGCTGACTCGATCGATAATTCAAGCACAAGCCTTTTCTCCAACATTTTCACATGTATACGCTGGTTTGGTTGGAGTGATTAATTCCAAGTTTCTTGTTATTGGTGAATTGACACACTTAAGTATGTTTCACAGTTTTAGGCTTTAGGAATTATGTATTTAGGCGTTTGATTGTGCGGTTCAAGCGATCTTCTCGTCGAAACTACAAAGCAACAACGGTGACTTTCAGTAGATTTCTCGCACATTGGATCAATCAACAAATGGTATGCTGTTTTTCTTTGAATATGAATTCGATGCATATTTAGGCTCACGAGTTGCTTCCTCTTGAGATCATTCTTTTGATGCTTAAAACACCAACGGAAGATTGTGTGTATTGCTTTTCTGAAAGAATGTGGCGCGAAACTGACAGAGGTTTGCTTTATTTAGGAGCGCTTATTGAGGAATGATTTGTTAGATTGCCCCGCGTTCCTTGGACAATGTTTTCTCAAGACTTCGAAACATTCTTGCTGAAGCATAATTGGATTCACGTATCCGTTATATGATTGAAACTGCAATCGCAATCGGAGAGATAAATTTGCGGTCAGTTTTTAGTTCTATTGCCTGGCAAAGTTTATTCTTTAAGGACTACCCGACTTTAATTGATAAACTCGATCTTATTTCGGGAGGGGACCAAATTGCACATACACTTTCCCTTGAAGATGCTATCGATCCTGAAAATATGCTTAGTGGGTGAACTAAAAAATTTAATTGTCGATCAACTTGGCTTTCAAACAAACTTTACAGACATTTTCAAATTGGATCCCGATTTTGAGAAAAATGATGCTGCCTGCGACGAGATCCGTGAACAAATCATTGGTGACGCCGGTGAAAGTGAAGAGGAATCAGAAGAAGGGGACGAAAAGGAAGAAGGTGACGAGGAGGCAGCTGCAAACGGTAGACATTCAATTTTGTCGATTTAAATTTTATAATATTACGATATTGATATTACGAAACTGAGGAATATGCGTCGTTGAATCAGTCATTTGCATTTCACAGATGCCATTACTTGAGATGTAAGTCTTTATGCGAAGATTAACTTTTTCGTATCCATATTTAAAGTGTTCAAATGTAGGTTTTGAGCGAGATCCATTTGAACGAGAATGAGACAACTTCTTCGGGCAGGATTTACATGAAAATCATTTTCCTTGAATCGGCTCAAATGATGGGACTTCCAAAGCTGTATGAAAGAATCTGTGATCCGTAAGTTTAGAGATTTTCTAGAATTCATTAATCTTTAGTACAGTCATGGACAAAAGTCTTTTAACATTGGTTTTTAGAAGTGTGTTCTTTGTAAATCTTGGTCCAAATCCGAGCAATTTGCAAACGGTTAAAAGATTTAAAGAGCTTATTATCTCTTAAAGATGGATTTAACAATTTATCAGGTGTCATGAACTTTTTAATAAAACAAAAATTGGGCCAAAAATTGATGGCCTGATTGAATTGATTTTTTTAAATTTTCTTGGAAATGGAAAAGTTCTTGGAGCAGAGGAAACCCACCGATCTCAAAACAAATCTTGTTTTTCCGAAAATTGGACAGAATCTGTATCGAAAGTTCTGGGGGAATCGATCGAAATCATTTGATAATCTCTTTCGAGGAGCACAACAAATACGGACGATTGGAGAATCAATTCCTGTTCTCAACGAACACCATTACGGATCATCTTTCCAAAAAAAATCGTCACATTGAGCCCTTTCAAACCGAAGTTCCCTGTCATTTGTAAATCGTTATTTACTCAATTCAATTTACTGTACGGCAGATGTGAGCCAACTGTTGCATTCCCATTCCCCATTCCCCTCCTTTCTCTTTATTTTCCGTGGTAAGAAATCCCTATTTTGCTTGATAAAAAATTTCTTGTTTGATTTTGTCTTTTCTCATCAATTATGCCTCTTTAGTAGCTGTTTCCTTTAATTTTCACTCGTTCTTCGAGAAAATTCAGTCATTTTGTAGGCATCCAATCGTCTAGCAACCGAAATGGACAATCTCTTGAATCTTCCTTCTCGATGTCTTCAGAACATCTCTTCTTTTTCCAAATCTCCAGAAATGCCCGAAATGACTGAAGGATTGCCTGAAAAGAGTGTCAAACGCATAGAAGAATCGGCCATCTCGTTGAAGAAAATCGCCCAACTCGAAGCCGATTTGTGGGTGTTTCGCCAAATCTTTGCTTCTATCAAAAACAGTCTTTAATTTAATCGAAGAGTTTAGGGAAGAAATGAAAAAGGACAAAGACATCGAGATGAGTCGATGGACAGCAAAAATCGCTCAAATCGAGGCGAAGTTGGAGGCCGATTTCGTTGACGAAAGGGAGAGAAATCGAGAATTGGAAAGGAAAATCGCCGAGGCGAAAAGGAAGAACGACGATCTCGAGGCACAATTGTACTAATTTTGTAACTTTCTTTGCTGACAAGCTCAATATATGGTTTAGATGCGAACTTTTTTCAGAAGAACTCGAAATACGGAAGTGAGGGAAGGAAAGACCAAGATTGGAGAGCTCGACGGGAAAATCAACGCGTTGCAGAGCAAAATCTCTGGCTTTGAGACCCAAATGTGAGTTTATTTGGTACCTCTTGTCGACTGAGACTTGAAAAAACAGTTTCTTCACTACCAAAACACCCATTCCACTCAATCCAATCAGCTCCTCTCTAGACAATTTGAAAGGGAAAAAAAACGGCCGAAATCATGAAGTTGCGGGCAGATTTACGCATTTTTTTTAAGGAAAAGGATTTAGTATTTGTTCAAAAAATCTGGCTCATCTTTTTCAGTGAATGTGAACAAAAGGAAAGAAGTGATGAATTCACAAAGATCAACTCAAAAATTTCGCAAAGTGATGATCGATCGACGAAGATTGGTGCTGATTTGAAAGAGATGTGAGTCTTGAGAGCCCTTAAAGAAATATCTGAGAATGAAACACTTCTAGAGATTCCGAATTCGCCGAAATGTCAAGGAAAATGGCGAAGTTGGAGACTGATTTGGTTGACGAAGGGAAGAGAAATCGAGAATTGGAAAGGAAAATCGCCGAGACGAAAAGGACGAACGACGATCTCGAAGCACAATTGTACTAATTTTGTAACTTTCTATTCTGACAGGCTCAACAGAAAATATAGATAAAAATCGATTTGTTTCTAGAAAAACTCAAAATTCCAAGATTTTAGAGATTCCCAAGTCGCCGAAATGTCAAGGACCATCTCCGCGAGAATGGCTCAAAACACGACGGATTTAATGGAGAAAATCACGAAGTTGGAGGCTGATTTGTGGGTTCAACAATATTAGAATCTAACTATTTCCTGTAGACTGAGACTTGAGAAAACAGTTTTTTTGACTCTCAAAACACCTATTCCACTCAATCCAATCAATTCCTCTCTAGACAATTTGAAAGGATCAAAACAGTCGAAATCGCGAAGTTGCAGGCAGATTTGTGAGTTTTTTAAGTAACGATTGAGTCTTGGTCTAAAAAATCTGGAGTAAAGTTTTTCGAAGAAACTCAGAAATCGACCGATGACTTTCTCGGATCTGGATGGATGGTCGTATTTGGCAAAAACCGCTTCTTGGTACAAGGTTTGGTGGATGTTGTGAACCAGGATTATCTTCATCTCAAGGCTTTCGATCAAGAAATGACATTCGATGAAGCCGAGGCATATTGTACGAGTCGAAAGATCCATTTAGTCTCAATTCACAGTCAGGAAGAGAACGATTTTGTTCAGGAACTCGGTAAGAAATCGAAATGATTCAATTCTGAAAATTCAGGGTTTTTGTAGAAATTTATGCTTTATAAACCAAAAACAACCGATATTTATTTCAGCGGAAACTGTTCGTTCGGATTCTTTGTTCTGGATCGGACTGAAGGTAGAATTTTTCTTGTTGAAAGAAATTAATAAATAGAAAGTGATGATTCTTTCATCCCTTTTCGGTAGACTCTTTGTGAAAAAATGATTCGTTTGACTGATAGTTCTTTGATAGAAATAATGGTTTCAATTGAGAAATTAGAATAATTTCAATAATAAGAAAGGAATATCGGATCGAAATATCAATGTCTAAGCATAAAAATTAAAAAAATCAAAGATCAACGGTGAAACAGAAAAATTTCTTTATTCAGGAAAATCCGAACAAAGGAAATGCTTTTGAATGGACGGATGGAAGTTCGGTGGTTTTCAGGAATTGGCATCTTGGACAACCGGATTCGTACGCCCACGCTTTGGTGAGATTTTCTGGGTGAAATCATCGACATTTATTCCAGTTGCCAATGTATAATTAATCGCAAAGATTTTGCCCAATCTTAGGAGTTTTTTGTGTAAAATAACGCAAATTGTTTTATCAAAAGATTTCCATCAGAAATGAACACATTTCAGCTTGATAGCTACGATGGGGAATGGTGGTCCGCTTCTCTTACCTCTCAGTGGCGTTTTATCTGCAAAACCAGCTCTCAATTCTGATGAATGTTTTGTGTTCTTTTCTTTGGACAAAAACCAATAAATCCCATTTTATTCAATCTTCTGAAAACACACAATTGCACATTATCTTTTTCTTTATTTCTGAATTGTTTGTTCAAAATCTCATATAAAGTTTTCCCAAAAACCCGGAATTCCGCCTGAAGCTGAGAGTATTTTGCTCTCTTGTCGCTCCTGAATAGACTATTAGATAAACGCGTTGAACATCAATGGACATCAGCATGAGGAAACTGACAATTCTTCGTGAAGGTCGCTCCTCTCGTCCCTCAACACGTCGATTTGTCTTTGATTTTTGTTCCTGAAAGTTCTCCAAATCCAAGCGAATTTCTTTGTCCAAATCCAAAAACTCTTTGAGCCACGAGTAGCGGGTGAAGAGGTCCGGCGAGAGAGATGCTATTCGAAAATCGCTTTGAGTTTAACAAAGATCTCTTTTCAATCAAAGGAGTCCCTATTAGTCGAAATTAACTAGAATAACGGCATAGATCGAAAGTACAGCGTTCCGTGGTTGGATCAAAGTTATCATGGAGATCAGAAAAAGCAGAAAACTCGTGTGGGTTCGAGTTTGTTTTGGCAAGTTGAGGAAGAGAATAGTGAAAACGATTGTTAGGGTCATTGATGTTCATGCAATTTCAGTAGGCCAGTAGACAGAGGGTCTGGAATTCGGCTTTAGTTACAGGATTCATTTGATTCAAACCAGTAGAAGAATCCGTAGAAACCCCCCATTCTTACGAATGCGACAGATGTTGGCTTAGGTGAACGATATGATCCCTAAAATATTCGATGACGCCTCAGAAACAATTGTGAATGTTAATTTAAGGAGAGGAAGTTGTTGATTGCGATGAGGAAGAGGGAGAGTTTCCGAGAAGAGATATGGTTTCGATAGATGGGGACATGCTCAGAAGAAGTATGTTTGAAGGGGTTCTGCAATTGGGCTGCGGAAGGTTTTAGGCCCGTAACGATAAAATCAAATAGCTTCATTATCTATTTAAAATATCCATTACAATATACAGTACGTTTCAAATTCTTAAGGCACCCTCTATTAATTAAAGAGTTTTGCATTTTGAACAACGCTGCAACTATTATTCCTTTTCTATTGAAAAGAGCATGTCTTAAAATTTTAACTGAATCTATTTGAAGGAGATCGAGAAGGAATTCAAGCATTTCCTCCAAAAGCACATCAGAACAGGAGCCGTAAGTGACAATTTTTATTGGAGAGTTACGGGCAGCTGCGCGATCACCTACTACATCATTTCGGGATGACCGTTCGTTTCATTTCGTTTCGCTCACGGATGAGGTAATTCTCACCCTTCTTGCCGGCATTCAAGACGATCTGCACAATGAGAAATGGTGGGAATTGTTCAGAGATCACTTTTTTCAATCAGCAGCATTTAGGACCGATCCGAATCGATCGCTCAGCCAATATGTGGTCAATTCAACTCATTTTGAGCTAGATTGTACCTCTAACAGCCGACAGCTTGAGAAGTTGGATGTGTTCACTGGAATCTGTCTTAGCTTCATATTTCTGCTTTATGCTGCATATTAAAATACAAAAAATAAAGTAGCATTCTCCTTCAGGACGCGCACAACATGAGCTTTTTCCTCTATCGACAAAGACATGATCTCTCAACTAAGAAGTCATTTGATGGCGATGACGAAATGATCCAACAGATCCGTCGAAAAATCAACCCTTTTCTAAACAAGTTGATGCCACGATTCAAAACCTGAACGATTTGCCTCGAATTGAGAAATTGAATAAAAATCCGACAATAAAGTGCATTTATGAAAAAAGAAAAGCGGATAAAATGCATTTTAATCGTTTCTTCACTCAGTAAAAGCCATTTGAGATCCCTCTTTGTATATAAAAGGACACGTAATGTCGAGATGAGAGACACCCGTTTTCCCCGTTGATAGCAATCTGAAAAGAAATTCTTTATTCATTTACATAAAGAAATTCTCTCAATTTGCTGGTGACATTGACGATAAATCTTTTTTTGAATAATTGGAGATCAAAATTGGGATGGTCTCGATTGACTGCTTTTTCAGCAAAATTTATGAATGATTGAGTGATGAAAATCTCACCTCGACCTGGGTGTCCGAATTTGGAATTCCTCCGGCCCAATTCGTGAAATCTACCGAATACTCTCGAGCACCAGCTCGTCATCTGAAATTATACCATGTGCTGATAATTTGGTTTCTTAAAACCATAATTAACAGCATAACAAATCCTTTAACCCTAGTATATTTCCTAATAGTCTGCCAATACTACAATGAATCGGGGACTTGTCCCTCGCCGACATTCTAATTTTCATTCCATAATGTCAGCATCCCTCCGGCTGGCTGACGCTTTCTTTTCCACGGATACAACTAATTCATCTCGGACCGGTTTTCTTTGCTAATCTAAATGATTTGGAATTGCATATCGCTACTTAATGTGGAAATTTTATTTCACGATAATATTTTTCATGATCACGATAGCCGACTTTTCGCAAAATGTTTTAGGCTTGTTTTAACAAATCTATACGATGATTTAGGCATCGTATAGAAATCGAGAATTAGAAAGGAAAATCGACAAGACGAAAAGGAAGAACGACGATCTCGAAGCACAATTGTACTTTTGTGATTTTCTTTTCTGACAGGCTCAAACTAAAATATAGATAAAATTCGAACTTTTTTAGAAGAGCTCGAAATACGGAAGTGACCGACGGAAAGGCCAGGATTGGAAAGCTCGAAGGGAAAATCAACGCTTTGCAGAGCAAAGACTCTGACCTCGAAGGCCAAATGTGAGTTTTCATGGTATCTCTTGTCGACTGAGACTTCAGAAGACAGTTTTTTCACCCCCAAAACACCAATTCCAATCAATTCAATCCATCCCTCTCTAGACAATTTGTAAGAAACAAAACGGCCGAAATCGCGAATTTGCGAATCAAAAGCTCTTTTCCGTAAAAAACAATTGTGTATCGGATCGTCCGTCCATTCGTACTTCCCATTTCCCCGAATTCAAAACTAATCAACCAATTCAGCAGAATGGGTGTGATGGCCGTCGCTCTATTCATCACGATTCTCCTCCTTTTCCATCAAATTTCTTTGTCGATTCAACAAAGCGTTCAAGTGGATTCGCTAAATCGAGATGAAATTCTCTCTGGTGATCGTCGTACCTTGAAGTTGGTAATGAAAAAGGAAATGTGAGTGAAACCAACAAATCTTGAAGAATTTAAACTCATCTTTTTCAGTGAATGTGAACAAAAGGAAAGAACTGATGAATTCACGAAGATCAGCTCGAAAATCTCCCAAAGTGATGATCGATCGACGAAGATTGGTGTTGAATTGAAAGAGATGTGAGTCTTGAGATCCCTTGAAGAAATATCTGAGGATGAGTCATTTTAGAGATTCCAAAGTCGCCGAAATGTCAAGGACCATCTACACGAAAATGGTTCAGATTGAGACGGATTTAATGGGGAAAATCACGAAGTTGGAGGCTGATTTGTGGGTTCAACGATATTAGAATCTAACTATCTCCCGTAGTCTCTGAGTCTTGAGATTCCTCAAAGAAATATCTGAGGATGAGACATTTCTCCCAAAGTTTCGAAATCGCGAAGTTGCGGGTAGATTTGTGAGTTTGTTTAAGGAAAAGTATTGAGTGTTCTTTTAAAAAGACGGAAATGTGGGTGAAATCAAAAATCTTGAAGAATTCATGCTCATCTTTTCTGGATTTTGAGTAGTGAGTAATTTGAGTATTCAGCGCAAGAGAGCCGAACGAAACGAAGGACAAATACGTCGAGATGAGTCGATGGACAGCAAAAATGGCTCAAATCGAGGCGAATATAATGGGGAAAATCGCCGAGACGAAAAGCAAGAACGACGATCCCGAAGCACAATTGTACTAATTTTGTAATTTTCTTTTTGACAAGCTCAATATATAGTTAAAATGCGAACTTTTTTCAGAAGAACTCAAAATACGGAAGTGAGGAAGGAAAAATTGGAGAGCTCGAAGGGAAAATCAACGCGTTGCAGAGCAAGAACTCTGACCTCGAAACCCAAATGTGAGTCTATTTGGGATATCTTGTGGACCGCGACTTGAGCAAACATTTTTTTGACACCCATTTCACTCAGTCCATTCAACTCCCCTCTTAGCAATTTAAAAGAGAAAACAAAATGGCCGAAATCAAGAGGTTGCGACCATATTTATGCGTTTTTTAAGGAAATAGATTGAGCATTTGTCTAAAGGATCTTGACTAATGTTTTCCGAAGAAATCCAGAAATCGAACCATGAATCTCTTCGATCTTTATCGGGATGGATGGTCGTATTTGCCAAGAACCGCTTCTTGGTACAAGGTTTGGTGGATGTTGGGAACCTAGATTATCTTCACCTCAAGGTTATCGATCAAGAAATGACATTTGACGAAGCCGAGGCATATTGTGCGAGTCGAAAGGGCCTTTTAGTCTCAATTCACAGTCAGGAAGAGCACGATTTTGTTTGGAAACTCGGTAAGAAATCGAAATGATTCAATTCTGAGGATTCATGATTTTCGTAGAAATATATGCTTTATAAACCTAAAACAATCGGTATTTATTTCAGCAAAAACTGTTGGTTCGAATGATGCGTTCTGGATCGGACTGAAGGTTGAATTTTTCTTATTGAAAGACATAAATAAATATATAGAAAATAATGATTCTTTCAGCCATTTCCGGAAGGCTTTTTGTGAAAAATCTATTCGTTGGATTGATAGTTCTTTAATAGAAATAATGGTTTCAATTGACAAACTAGAATGTTTCTAAAATGAAAAAAATTTGGTTGAAATATCAACGGTGAAAGATAAAAATTTCTTTATACAGAGAAATCCGAACAAAGAAAATGCTTTTGAATGGACGGATGGAAGTTCGGTGGATTTCACGAATTGGACTTCGGAACAGCCGGGTTCGAACACCCACGCTTATGTGAGATTTTCGACGTGAAATAATCAATATTTATTCCAATTTGCAAT